TGTACATGGGCCTAGGAAATAAATGTTTAAGTAGAATATCAACTATTCCTTGATAGATACAAATTTGGTCTTAAAGGAGTACACAGTTTAATATGCAGCAACTTTAACAGGTACTTGTTGGAAGCTTTACAGGCATAATCTCTCATAATTCTGATCACAAACTAATGAGGTAAATAGTATCACCTTCATTCTACAGGTGAAAAAACTCGCTCAGAAAGCTTAATGTTTTATCCTCAGTTACATTAACTGACATGAATGAAAGATCCTGTTTGTCTTGATTTTAAAAACTTATACTCTTCCTACTCCTGAGATTGTTCCCATTAAGCCTTCATTCACAAGAAAAATGCTACTGGTTTTTGCTGCTTATGTGCCAACAGACCTATATGACTACAAAAGGCCCTTCCAGGATTAAATAGGCGCTTACTGTGTGCCGGGAACCACCTTAAACCTCTTGCATATATGTTGTAACCATTTCACAGATGAAGAATTTAAGCCTTAGTACTTAGTTCTACTCTACCCAGGCAATGGCAGAACTGGGACAAATCTGTACGAGACAACAGTTGGTCCTTTTAATCTTGGCACAATATTGGCTTCAATATTGGCTTGTACCTGCTTATAGTTGGTCAGCTTCTTCCTCTATCTCTTAACATTTTCTGATTTTTGCTGAGGGTACCCACTCAAGTCGAAGAGCCATTCAGCACTTGTTGTAAGCCTGGGGTATGGTCCCCTCACCCTTCCCATGCCTTAAGGGGTTGGCTCCTCACAGTGATAATGTGGCAAGATTAGTCACTGCTTGCTGTTGGTTGATTATAGCTATTCTTTTCTGTAAATGAAGTTTAAAAGTCATCAAAGGGTTTGTCAGCTGTGACTTATGAGCCTCTCTCCTGCAGGGAAGTCAGGCAGTGACAAATGCCCTTCTCTTTCTGTTATCCATTATAAGTCGGAAGGTGCCATGTTCCAATTACTGGAGACCCTGATGCAGCTCATAGAAAACCCTGCTCCAAGCTGTAGCCATTACTCAGGCCTGGCAGTGCTGCCAGCAGGGCTGCTCTAGGCCTTAGGCCTCAACCCCACTGAGTAGAAATGGAGTGTTTTCCTGACTTTGTGAGCTGGCTCTTTACATTCCTTAACTTGTATTAGCCCCTAATGGTTTACCCTAAGCACACCTTACAGTGTACTTTTGCCATGTGGCTTTTGTGAAGCCCAGACTGAAGACTGCCTAACTGTCACGAGGAAATAAGATTGTGCTACCAGGTAGACTATGTGGGAAATATATGCTCCAGGTAGGTCAGAGGGTAAAATGTCTAAGATATTTAGAGAAAGAGTCTGAAAGGAACCCAGTACAACTAACAGCCTCAGCATTCAGTATTATCTGAGAGACTGTCAAGCTTGATACTATGAAATGAAGATTAAAGAAATACAGTCCCTAACATGGAAGGTAAACTGAGAAAATTTAAAAGTCCAGAAGAATTGTGGACTCAAAGTTACAAAATCGGTTAAGTCATAGATAGAATTAGTGATATCTCTAGTGATATAGAAAAAATAGAGTGACAAAGAAAACCTTTTCATGTTTTAGGCTAAGAACACGCTTAGACTCCCATGCAAATCCCACTTAAGTCACTTACTACATGTTTGAATCTGGCCAGTCCCATAAATACTCTCCAAAGTCTCTGAAAAATGGAGATGATTAATGACTTGCTTTGGGGCTGTGGTAAGGATTAAGTAATATACATATGGTACTGAGTGGTAAGCATATATTAAGTACCCTAAAATATTACTTACCATCAAATAATCTCTAAAATAACTCTGAGTCTATTTTTAGAGACAAAGCAAGGTCATTTCTACTTTATCATACATATTAAATAAGCCAAAGCATTTCAAAACTATTCAGAGTGAAGGACTAGTTTGTTTTATGAAACTCCAACCCATTATAAACAAGCATTTATATACAACAAAATGTGAAATTGTTACAAAAGTTTCTAGGCTGAGCACTGGTAGCTCACGCCTGTAATCCTATCTACTCAGGAGGCTGAGATCCCAAGCTTGGGTTCAAAGTTAACCCAGGCAGAACACTCTTACCAACAATTAACCACAAAAAGCTGGAAGTGGAGCTGTGGCTCAACTAGTAAATAGCTAGCACTGAATACAAAAGCTCAGGGACAGAGCCCAGGCCCAGAGATCAAGCCAGGACCAGCACCAAAAAAAGTTCTCTAAGTATTTCCTCTCAATTTCCATGCTGATAGTGAATCAGTAATAATTTAGACTAGCTATACTTTAGTAGCAAGCTCCCATCCTCTCCCCCCATCACTCTTCCAACAGCCTTTATGACACCAAAGCAAAGAAAGAATGTTATTTAATAATTTCACTGCTTTCAAATTCTTTAGCTTGATTTCTTTCAGACTTTGGTGTGTTAATTCATAAAAATTGCCATACATGCCCCTTTAAAGGGAGAAGGTAGGAAGGCCAAATGAGTTCTTCTAGAGGTGACTTATCTTAGTCATTTACTCTAGGTAATGCTGTATCCTAAAAGGCAAGAGAATCTAGGCTTAACTAGAACAGTCAGGCACTGATGGCTCACACCTGTAATCCCAGTGACACAGGAGGCTGAGATCTGATGATTATGGTTCAAAGCCAGTCTAGGCAAAAAAGTACATGAGACTCTTACCTCCAATTAACTTCCAAAAACATGGAGCTGTGGCTCAAGTGATGACAGAGCATTAGCCTTGAGCAAAATAGCACAAGCCAGCACCCACACATTGAGTTCAAGCCCCAGGACCAGTAAAAAACAAAGACTGTAACAGCCTGGAGGCCTGAGAAGAGGGCAAATTCCATTCCTAAAGAGGCTGGTATTCCTGAGCCATCTCCTGCTACACTAGAAGCTATAAAGCCAGCCAAGAAGAGAAAGGGCATGCCTTAAATAGTCTATTATTTCTAATTTCCAGTATTACTATCACAGATGTCTACACACCAGCCTTTCCATCCAGGAAGCTGAGAGTTAATATGGACACCAGACTCATTCCTGAGTGGTACACTATATGTAAGAGTTTGGCTGACCAGTTAAGTCAGCATCCAAAGGCAAAATAGTACTCATTACTTTTGGTGGGTTTTTAAAATGTTTTTTGTTTGAAGCTTGAACTCTGGCCCTGAGCTTCTTTCGCTCAACACTGGGTAGTTTATTACAGATAAGAGTGTCACGGACTTCTCTGCCCAGGCTGACAGATCTCAGCCACCTGAGTAGCCAGGATGATCTGTGTGAGCCACCAGTGCCCAGCATATTCATTACTTTGAATTCATTACTCTGCATGTCCAAATTTTCATCACTGTGCAAAACTTCTTATTGCTCTAATTGAGCTTATACAACTATAGCTAAGTGATCATGTGATTTAGTGGAGAAAAGGGCACAGCTTGCTGTGTGTATTGGAATTAAAGGCCTGACCCATCAAGGAACCAAAGTCTAGAGTCCTTATTACCATGTGAAAGACTATGGAATGTGGTTTGGAGTAATCTGTAAAACCAAAATGTCAGCCGGGGCTAGTGGCTCATGCCTGGAATCCTATCTACTCAGGAGGCTGAGATCTGAGGATCGTGGTTCAAAGCCAACCAGTGAAGGAAAGTCCGTGAGACTCTTATCTCCAAAAAACCACTCAAAAGCCAGAAGTGGCTCAAGTGGTAGAGCGCTTGCCTTGAGCTGAAGAGCACAGGGGCAGTGCCCAAGCCCCGACTTCAAGCCCCACAACCGACTAACAACAACAACAAAAACCCCACAAAAATGTCTTCATTCTGCTATTGAGTTAGTTCTTTGACATCAAGTAAGTTCTTTGTGCTTCAGGCATTCCCCCTGTAAAATGAGGATAACAATACATATCACTAGTGTTGCCAGAGGATAAAATAATTTGTGTAAGAATTCACAACAGTATCTGGACACAGTCAAAAGCATGTAAATATTAGTCCCTGTTACTGTTGGAACCTCTAGGAATGTCTCCTTGTAAGCAGATAAGGGCAGATGATCAGTTTTACTGTAACATAAACCTACCGGTAAATGATCAAGGAAAAAGTACTATCACTGTAGGTAAGATGAGTTAGCTTCAAAATTCGAGCCCTTGGCAACATGCTTTGAACATAACAGGGACCACAGGAGTGGGCACTCATTAAGTGTTTAATGAATAACTATGTGGAGGAAAGGAGACTACAGGATCTACAAAAAAAATTTTAAAAAAAATAAAGAGATGAAAATCAGGACAGACAGAGGCTCCCCGCAAGCCAAGGTTCTTAGAAAGGCCTCATTGTACACTGAAGACCACAAAAGGAGACACAGCTCTCTTTCGGACAACAGGACCTAGGGGCTCATAGTACAAGACATCCCTGTTTGCTCACTATTTAGTCTCTGTTGAAATTCTTACATTCTGTGACTACTCTATTTTGAGTAAGGTTACAGAAAACTATCTGCATCTTCCAGTCTATAGTAGCATAAGTAAAGAAGACAGAGAGGGAGACCTAACAACCTTCCACATGATAGACTTTACCCTAAGTTAAATAGTAAGAGGGGGCTGGGAAGGTGGCTCAGTGGTAGAGTGCTTGCCTTGCATGTAATGTATGAGGCCCTGGGTTTGATTCCTCAGCACCACATGAGCAGAAAAGGCCAGAAGTGGTGCTGTGGATCAAGTGGTAGAGTGCTATCCTTGAGCTAAAGAGCTGAGGGACAATGCCCAGGCCCAAAGTTCAGGCCACAAAACCAACCAAAAAAACAAACCAGTAAGAGGGGCTTCCTAGTAGATTTTCCCTTGCTTGTGGAGCCTTGGGACCTCTACTAACTATGTGACTTTTGGAAGGTATTTCACTTCTCTCAAGTTCAAAGTTCCCTATCTAACAGGGATAAAAATTCCTACCCCTGCCCACTTGTAGCATGCTTGCTGTGAAGGTCAAAGGAGATACCATATTGTTTTCTTGTATGTGCTACACCGATATAGATGAAAAGCTGCTGCAGGTTTTCCTAGCCAGAGGTACCAAGCAGGCAGCCAACTGGATGAAATCAGGGACTAGATGGTGCATAAGTTGGCAATGCAGTTAAATGTAGTACCCCTCAGGTATATGGCTAATTAAATTTTTTTTCATTCAAAATAATCCCTCACAGCCTCACAAAGAACTGATCCTAAAGATAAATGTGTCTTAGCATATGTTTTCTTTTTTATTTCTCATATTCAAACAGGAGTAGGGAGGAAAGCTGACTGCTCTCCAGAATGTTGATGTTATTATCACTTAGGACTCTGCTATAATTTGATATCATCTAAATGCTTTATACGGCCTGTGTTAAAGGATTGGTTCCAAGGTGGTGTTATTACAAGTTGGTGGAAACCTTGAAAGGAAGGGCCTAGCTGGAGATCTGTAGATCATTGGAGGCATGTCCTTAAAGAAAGCATGTACTTCTTCCTTTTTCTCTACTCCCTAGCTTGTGATGTAAGCAGTTTCAGTCCACCATACACTCTTGTCACAGGCCCAAAATGTCAGGCCAACTACAGAATATAGAGCTTCTAAAACTGAGCTAAAACCTTTGTTTTTTATAAATATTTCAGGTCTTTCGTTACTATGCTGGAACAAGCTCTAAACATCATCCCACAGTGCCACATATTTGGCACAAAAGTAACAATTAAGAATGATGTGCATCACAGCTACTTTGCATTTATCACTCTTGTAAAAACACTAACTCCACATGTCAGGCACTGATGGCTCAGCTAGCATCTGTAATTCTAGCTACTCAGGAGGTTGAGATCTGAGGATTGCAGTTCAAGGAAGTCAGGAAAGTCCATGAGACTTTTATCTCGAAACAACTAGCAAAAGGGTAGAAATGGAGCTGTGGCTAGCCTTGAGTTAAAAGAAAAAAAAAAGAAAAGTTAACTCCACAACTATTATGCATCTGCCTCATATATGGCCCTACTACGTTCTACTTAAGACCCATTAGAGAATCAAATCCAAACCCTTTTACAAAGCTTACAAGGTCCTTCACAAATTAAGGCAACCAAATCCATACCCAACAATCCTCTAAATGGGTTAAGCCACGCTTACTTTATAAGTGAGTAAACCCTAGTGCACATGCAGTCAGTTTAACAGAACATGTCAGTATGAACTGGGTCCCTTTCTAAGGGGATAGGCATCAAATTCCAAAATATAGACTAAAGACTAAATAAATACCTTTTCTTGGGTTTAGTTTGTGGGAGGTAGGCATGAGAATGGGGTATTGTATGGCTCAGGCAAACCTTTCCTTCAGGAATACCTTAGATACTCCCTTTGAAGTTGACAACCTGACTCTTCCGGCTCCCACAGATGTAACATCATTAATAAACGTGGCTTAATCACCAAATGCTCCTCTGCAAATAATAGGATATACATTAACCTACCTAAGTTCAAGAACCCCTGCTACCATTTATGTCAAATAAATAACCAATGAACAGCTTAGCTAAATTACAGTGAACCATCCAAAATGATACAGACTTCTAAACTAATCAATTTAACCAATTAACCCAAATACCACGGCTGCTGGGGTACACATGGCCTTTTTTTAAAAATCTGTTTTAGAACTCTTTTGAGCCTCCTTTCCCCTCAAAAAGGAGATACCACACTAAACAGGCAGTGCTGCAACAACTGATTAAGGAAAAAAATTCCCCAAAACTGAAAAAGGAGTCTCAACAATAAGGGAAAAGTCTTAAGTTTTAGACAGACCAGAATTTATATCTATAAACGAGCACTAATTAATTATGTGACCTTGGCTATGTTATTCAACAACTGGAATCCATGTTCTCTATTAGGTATATACAGTAGCTTCATGCATGTACACAACCAGGATTTAAATCCACAAATAAGTACTTACTAGTTACGTGACCTTGGCTATGTCAACAACCCAAGTCAATGTTTTCTATTAAGCATATATAAAGCATGTTTGCATGCACATGCACATACACACGCACCAGGTCATTCATCAACCCCTATTTATTTGGCCTCTTAAATACTTTTTAGAATGTAGCCTCTACCTATTCATTTTTTCCCACCAGTCTTAATCTTCCATTGTTATTAAAGCAATATCCTATCATTCCCTTGCTTAAAACTGAAGCCAAGACCAGATTTGCTGCATTATCTTAAAATGTTTAGAGTAAGAACTTATATTATTTCTGATTATTTGAGAACTTCTGCTTATTACTTGAAATTAGTAAGTAAAACCATTACTAACCAAAAACAACATCCTTCTTATATAATTACCAAAAGCATTTTATTCTTATTTCTTTCCTGTGATTTTTATTGTGTTACATCATTCATTAAATTTAATTTGATAATCTTTTCTGCTTTTTTCTTCTTTTTGAGACTATACAGCCCAGGCTGGCCTCAAAGTCACAATCTTCTGTCTCATCTTTAACTCATGCTGATGTTAAAGAGGCATACACCATCATCTGTTTAGTGTAACCTATTTCTTTTCCAATTAGCATTATTAGGCAATTATATCTATATTGATGTATAGTTTTTAATAAACATCATTTTGTTCTGATTTACTTTTTTTGTCGGTTGTGGGGCCTGAACTTCGGGCCTGGGCACTGTCCCTGAGCTTCTTTTGCTCAAGGCTAGTATTCTTTTTTTTTTTTTTTTTTTGGGTCCGGTCGTGGGGCCTGAACTCTGGGCCTGGGCGCTGTCCCTCAGCTCTTCAGCTCAAGGCTAGCGCTC